CGCATTTGGCATCAAAAAAAATTTAAAAATAAATTTCCTCTTTTTTTTTTTTTTTTTTTTCTGCACTAATTCTACCTGTCATGAAACACCGACAAGTCTTACATGGCACAAATACATCAAGGTTAACATATTAAGCGGCGGTCTCTTACCAGGGAAGTAGCAGTGCCCTCTTCGAACTCCAAATATCTCCACGCAGCTTTCGTCTCCGCTCGCAGCTCGGCTCTGTCTCGACCTTCTTTTCTCGCCACCTCTTCTGTCCAGCGACACGTCCCAGCGCCTTCCCTCTCCCCAGCCTCACTGTCATGTGTTTCCCCGGTAAATTATCCTAGTAATCTTCTCCGAAGTGGGATGTGAAGAGTGCTCCGGGTCCGCCTACCGCACGCACAGCTGATGATGCTGGAAGAAGTGTCTGTGTGTCTGTTGCGTAGCCGGCCCGGCGCGCGCAGGAGCTCTTGGCACGCGCCTTTGTAATCGTTTTGGAACGGACTGTTCCGTCACGAAGGCTGAGCGCGCGGAACGTTTTGGAGAATCGCGGCCGTCTGTTCACGTCGTGCTGGTGGCATCTTGTGCATTTAAAGTCGCGTTTGAATGGGAAATAAAGGGCAGCGCATATAAGCGCGTGGACGTCACGCATATTATATGAATTCATTGGAGAAATTGGATGAGTGCCGCTTTAAGAGCACGCAGAAATCGAACTCTTACTTTCATAATAATAATAATAAAAAAAAACTGCAGCGTCTCCATTTTGACACGCCATCGGTAACGTAAACAGCTGCCGGGGCCATGTGCCACCGCTGCCGCTTACGCACACAGGACGGACAAGGCTCGCCCCATTTTTAGGTCATATGCCGGCTGCGCGTTTTGATGTAACATCGCTCCGGGGATCGGATTTTTTTCCGCTGTCCTCCAGCTCAGGTTCGCTGAGGAGGACTCTTAAACGCACCTTCAGTGAAATTAGATCAGGTGTCTTCCTGTGTAGGCCTTTTAGTCTAATTTATAAGAAAGCTTACACAAACTTTAACCATTTCAGTTGACTTCCTGTGTGGGAATGTAAAGATCTTCTCAGAAAGCAACGATAGTTTTATTTATTTGAAAGAGCATTTAACCGGGGCAATGAGCTGAACATTTGTTCTAAGATTAAGCCTCTTTGTTGAGAAACAGTCTTGTGCATCCCACAGCAGGCTGCTATGTGATGACTATCCCTACTCCTTCAGAGCTGGAGTCCTGCATGCTTTAGATGAGCCCCTGAGTCAACAGACGTTCAATAAGCTTCTGCAGAACTTGATGGCATACAGGGGAGGTAATTCAGCTGGGTTGGAGCTGGGACACCAGCTCTCAAAGAATTGAGTTGGTGTCCGTGATCTGGACGAGGTGAAAACGACTTGCTGAAGTTCAGATTGAGGATCAGAATGGGGAAGAAAAATGAATTTTGCTAGTTTAAGGAGAGCAGAATTAAGACTGCAGTCCACACAACTGGACCAAAACTGGACAATAATAGATGAGGGTTAAAGGGGGGGAGGGGGTGAATTGCTTGGGCCAATGATTCTATATTTAAAATGTGTCATTCAGCTCATATGGTGAGAATTTGGCATAAACAACATGAAAACATAGATCAACTAGTTCAGATTGGTGGTGGTGGTAGTGTCATGGCCTGAAAGACAGTCTTATAAACTTTGGGACAACACCAAAAGAGGATCACTTAAATACTAGAGACCTGTGTGTTTGTCTCCAGGAGAAAAGAAAAGACTCTTTGCTTTCCACATCTGAAAGGAGATCATTTTCTGTTCTTTCCTCTTTTTAACAAGGTGAGTCTCACCTTTCCTCACCTGCCTGTCAGCCTAAAAGATGATACATGTGCAGCTCCCTTGAGTACTCGCTATCAGCCAAAGTCAATTCACAACACAGGGTAGCCATAGAAACTGGGCATCACAGGTGTCCATTTCACAAGTAAGATAAGAGCTGAGAAGAGATACTTTAGCTAAATGAAGCTGGAGCTGAAAAAGAGTCCTGCTCAGGATTCAGATGTTACCAGAAAACTTTACAACTGTGTCATTATATTGTTCTTTTGAGCAAAGTGCATTGAAATTGTCATGTGTGGTGGTTGCGAGGTGGTGAGGAGAGACGCAGAGGCCCAGGTTGTGATAAAGATAATGATAAATTTAATGAAGAAAGCTCAACATTTTAGAACAGGCAGCACAGCAGAGTTAGCACACAGCTAATTACCAGTAGCAACTGAAAAACTAAGGACTGAAAACGAGAGCTATACCAACACAGGACTTTACAGTTCAACTGTGATGACAGGCAGGCAGACAAACGACATACGACACCTGTTTGACAAGGACCGGACAAGAGACAACAGCTGGACTTAAATACACAGGGAGGGTAATCAGGTAACTAGACACACCTGGGAAGCAATCAAGGGGGAAGACGCAAAGACAGAGACTCACAGGACAGAAACTGAATACAGAAAACTCTGAATACAGAAAACCCTTAAAAATAAATACACAGAAACACGGATCATGACAGAAATCAGTTGGTCATATCCTTAAATGCAGTAAAAAATAAATTAACATAACAATATAAAGTAGAATAATACACTATAAGGTATTCTGTTAAACTCATCCCTATTGGCAAGGGATGAGCTCTAAGGATATAACTGAACAATGACAAATTTCAGCTCTGATTAGTTTATGCAATAAACAATGAAGCAGAGGTGCAGATTGTTATCTTTACTTTGATGGTGTTCACATCTGAATCAGAGGACAGGCAGGAATCAGAGCAGTTAATTAAAGACTTGTATAAAAGCAGCCTTCAAATGAGAGGTTGCTATGGATACTTGAAACCTTTGCATTGGCATAATTTGCAGGAGTTAACTCACAGTGAACATGAGAGAGTTTTACTTTTTTTTTTACCTTCATCCTCGCTGTTTAAGGGGACAGATAAACTGTGGTCTTGGTTGCATCGTTATAGCTCTGCCTGTTTTGTGTTTAAAGATGTGGGTGGAGTGGTGCTTAGGCTATATAAGCTTGTTTCTGTCCAACTACTCCTTTTCATTCAAAACCTTTGTCTATCAACACGCAAGATTCATTTTAAACTAAATTAATGAAATAAATAATTCACTAAATTTGTTGTAATACTGACTTCCTCAAGAGATCCTTCACACCCACAGTCACTAGCATCTACAATCACTCTTGAGTATAACTCTGAGTGCAGGGGGCAACAATATTTAAGTTTCTTAATTGAACTGAATTGAGTTTTTTTTACTTCATTTTCTCTTCATCTTTTGAACCTAAGCTGTGATTTGATGTGAGGTATCTCCTCTGTTCTCAAATGCAAAACATCATTGGCACTTTGACGGATTTCATCAAGATTTAGGCAATCATAGAGAGGCTGTTTCACAAGTTTGGCCTTTCTGAACTCCTTTTATAATCCTGTGGAGCTACGTCTGTAAACTCTGTTGTCTTTTATGAACGGAGGCTGGGTGTGTCCTTTCCTGGGGAACAACAATACTCACTTTTACCTTTTCATCATTAAAGCCCTCGTTTGAATCAAACAGCGTTCCCTTTGGTATTTAGATTTCTATAATTAGCTAAAGCTTTGTGTTACCCAAGACTGTGTTGACCCCAAACACCAGGATCACAAAACAACAACCCTGAGGTCACTTCAGTCCTCACAGGCAGGTTTTCGCATTTCTCCTACAACTGTACTTTCAAAATGCAATTCTTTCTATGCTACTTAGAATAGTTATAACACTTAAGGATCCTTTAGTAGTATATTTACCAAAGCAGTTAGTGGCACTTTGCCTTATCTTTGGGTTTTGCAACATTCTGATGTTTCAAAGTGTTTAATTCACTGGTGCATTTTAAATATTGCATTATTTTTGTCACAGTAAGTGTCATTCCTCAAAAGCATTAAAAAAAGAAAATCAAGCCTTTTCTTTTTAACCAAAGCTCACACACTGCTCCACATTGTGCACAAAGTAGCACAGCCCTCTGAGCAGCTTTGCTTTCTGAAACAATGGTGACTTTATAGAGGTCAGGCCAGCATGTAATAGTGGCAAGAGCTTAACTAAAGTTTTTTTTTTTTTTTAAGTAGATTACGAACTTATGAAGGCAATTCTTCACTAACATAAGGAGGGGGGCAAAAATTGTCATTTCACATGTTTTGAATTCTGTGTTTGATTCCAAGTAGCTTCTCTCACAGGCGCTGAGCTTAGGCTGTGTGCTCCACAGCACTGCGGCCCTCACCATGCATAATTAGGAGCAAAGGGAAGAAAAGATCTTGCCACAGACCACTAAGCCCATTCAGTGGATTTTGTTGAACACTGCTGGATGACGATGCACTCAAAGTCAATTAAGGTCAATCTACTGGCGCATTCATCATGCAGGGGAGTGGATGGCAGTCACCGAGCGATTATAGCTGCCATGTGGTCCTCTCACGGATAAGCGATAAATAGTGGCGCTGTGGAAATGATGTGGTTATGTAATTACCTGGAAACTGGTCTCAGTGAATCTACTCTGGGGTCCAAAGGCAGTATAGTGGAGGAGCTGTTTGTTAGTCGAGTGTGGCTATAATTTATGGTCGTCGCAGGGTAAATATTGGCCAACAATGAATAAACGCGACACATGCTGCTGCCGGGGGTGCAGGTGTCAGTCAGCTTGTTTTATATTCACTAAATCACGTTAGTACATTGCCAGAAAAAAAAAAAAAAAAAAAAAGGTTTTTTTTTAAAATAGGACACAGAAAATTGGAGCGCGCTTTTGTTTTTATTAGGTCACAGCAAAAGCATCTTTACCCTTCAAAATGTCGCGGCCAGAGCCTTAGCCCACACCAGAAAAATGGATCAAGTCTCACCAATGTCAAACTTTGGGGCTTTGGAATTGTGTTGTCTTTTCATGTTCAGTTCATTCCTTGTAGAGCCCTTGTATCTTATTATTCATATGTATTTTATTCTGCTGTGACTTGCAGTCCGCGTCATTTGTTTGATCTGGTTTCCTGTTTCTTTGTTAGTTCTTTGTTCGTAATCTGTTGAATTTGAGTTTCTGTGTACTCCTTGGTTTGTGTGTCTGCTATTGTTCACTTTTGTTAGTATCTCAGTGTTTCAGCTACACGCACATCCAAGCTCTCTCCCATCTGCTAATTAACTCACCTGTCTACCATTCCAGTTACCAAGCTGCCCATTGACTTTGATATCATCTTTAGGCTAGAAGCATCAGACAAAGGAGGTTCTAATGTTGGGGATTATGGCTGCCCACCCAGGGCACCACAAGCTAAAGAGCACCACAAGGACTAAGGACAGAAAATGTATCTTCCACCTGCACCCTGCAAAAGCTTTCTATTAATTATTTAAACATGCAGCCAATAAGGAATAACTACACCCAATAATTGCTGGTCCATGAATTTTCTTCAAAGAAAGACTGGATTTCTGGGCACCATTCATGCAGGAACTGCTGCTAGCCTCAGAAATGAATAGCATGTTTTCAGAAGTAGCACATATTTATCACCAAGTCCACTGACCCACCACTGAAGTTTTCTTTGTACATTTTGGCAGAAAACATGTAGGCAGAAATGAATGTCACCAACAACAGATGTAGAACAAATATAACATTTCATTCTCCTTGCCTGCTGATGGCGGTTAAAGAGGATGCTGGAACCGATCGCATGGCAGTCTGCTCCAGGGGCAGCTGTGGCTCCCATGTAGCTTATCACTCTTACTGTGTCAACGTGTGCATGAAAGACTGAATGTAGTATGAAGCACTCTGGAGTCCTGTCGTCTGGACAATGCGCTACACAAATGCATGTCGTTTGCCTTTTATTTTTATTCTTAAATGTCAGGCTATGCTGGAGTTCTCAGTCAGATTTCCCACCTTTTGATTAATTTCAGACAAATTTCATTAGGTGCATAATCTGTTTCCCTGATCCAACATCATGAAAAAAAACAAAACACGTTTACAGTTTGTGTAAATGTTACATAATGACACAGTCAGCTAGAACAATCAACGAGTACAGTAGCATATATCGAGAGGAGACATCTGTCATATAAGAGAGTTGCTATTTGTTATTCTGTCCAGACTTCAATCATTCCAGAAAGTTTGTACAGTGAGAGTTCACAATGTGTCCTCTCTCCTACACATACAAACACATACTTGGCCCACCTGCCCTCTGTCCTCTTTTACCATCAAAGAGGCTTTACTGCAGCACACACCAACACGCACAGCAAAGACAAAAAAGCCCTGGACGTTATTCCGCTCTGCGGGAGGAATTCCCTCAAGGAGCAGTCTGGCTGTTCCAGAGAGGAGATGAAACATCAGGGTCCAAAAACTGAGAAGAAGGTCAGTGTGTAAAAGGGTTCAGGCAAGACATTTAAGCTTTAGGTAGATTTCTTATGTATGCTATTACACTTAATTTGCTTTTCAAATTATATTCGGTTTCATTATTTTTGGTCCTGTTCACAAACATAACAAATCTGAGGATGTTATAGCCTCATTTATATGAAAACATTTGTTTAAGTAACCTGATCATACATTTTCAGTGTAATTACAACAACTTTGTTACATGGTAGTGTCGGCACATCTGCAGCTACAAAAAATGTGCAGTATACAACACCATCATTATTTTATGTGTAATGAGTAAGACATTTGCATAAACATTAGCTCATAGGTTTCAGAAATCCAAGAATCTGTTTCCAATCTCTGAAGGTTATTTCTTTAAATGCAAAATCAATCTGCTCAAGTAAAAGCACCAATAATAATATTGCTCAGATTAAAGAAAAACAAAAGTACAGTGTAATAAAAGTATTCTTACAAGTACTTTTATTACAAGTACTTAAGGTTATTCAAGTGAATGTAACACATGGCTATTATTTAGGATATAAATTTAATGTTCTGAAACATGTCATCTAAATTCCACAGGGTTTTAATATTTGCTTCAAATGGTATTTATTATTCAACACACACGTCTGTAGTCTTCAGCAAACTCAAGTTTTGCTCATGTTTCCCATCTGCAGCGGGATAACACACTTACTTTCTGCTTTGTTATCACTTTTTGGTGAGTAATATGTTTTAATGTTCTTCTAGACAACTGTGTGTGGGAAAACTTACTCTCCTGATTTTCAGGCGTCAACCAGATTATCACAATTAATAAAATAATCTCTGGCGCCTATTGCACAGTTCTGCAAGCATCCACACTAATAGGCATTACTAGTATTATCTTTGTTTGGCTGCCTTCGACGCAACTTAAGTGGGGGGTGAAAATAACTCAAAATCACAGATAGTAGACCAATAATCATGAATCTGATTTACATGTATATCTTTTTTGTCAAGAGATTGCTTGGTGCAGACGTCAATCTGAACAACATCCAGTAAATAAACATCTGACACAATAATGTAGTCTGACCCACATAGAGAAAATGTTATCCAGCATGGTCTTTGCCTATTTGATAAATCCAAGCAAGTTTGTTTGTAATTAAAAAAAGAAAATATATTTGTTCTCAGCTTTTATTGTTTAGGCTTGCTCTTCCTTTGTTTTTTCAACATTCCTGCCAATCCTCCTAAGGGTGAGATTGCAGAAAGTATGTAGAGAAGTCAGATAATACAACCTGTAATAAAGCCAAATGCCTTATCTTATGAATGCTAAGGTTTAGTAATAAATATAAACCCTTCCCGATGAATGTGCAGATGTTGAGTTGCTCAGATATTGAATTCAGTTTGTCTCTGTTTGGCCAGCTGGTCTGAAGGTTTAAGCAACTCTCCTCCATGAGACAAGTGCGTGTTCCTCTGTTTGAAATGTGTTTCTTCTGAGTATAGTCTTAGATGTATTTCCTTTTTGATCCCAGAGGAAGGAAAGGAACACAAACATTTTGGTTTCGGAGACACATAAAACTGTACAGTATGTTCTTAGGATCAAGGAGTTCAACCAGAAAAGTGGCATAAACAAGAACGCAAAGACGACTGATAGTTTGCTAGCTTCTGGTATAATTCATGCTCCATCTTTTAACAGCCTTCTTTTGGAGAAATTGTGGAGTCTGATTGAATTGGTTGGTTTGTTTAGTACAGACCCTTCTTCCAAAAACTGTTGAGTAGCTTTTCGCTGTTAGGGCTTTGGGAAGACAATTACATAACCTTAAACCAACACTTTGAAATTTTACTTACATTTGTCCATAGAGACAATGTAGATGCTTTTTGGGAAGCATTTTATAGTTAAATGACATTTGCCTTGACAAAAGACAAAATTCTCAAGAAAAATGTCTGAAACAGTCAAGTTAAGACTTTTGACACAAGAACACAGTCATAGCTCTCAGACATGGAGTCTGTTTTACTACTAGTGGTGTTGATGCATTGCACAATATGGATGGAATAATGAAGAAGAAAGCCTGCCCTCATACCATCAACTTTTCCTCATAACATTGAGGGAGGTGGAGGACACCTGGACACAACTAGATGTTTCCACTGGGCAATAACTCCTTAGACCATAATGGTTTTGAAATGGATGAATCTGTTGCAAACTACAGCTGTGGGGGAACCAAACAAAGCCTGTAAGCAAGCACATCATGATGAAAGTGATGATTTGATGGGATAATTAGTTCGAAACGTCCAGGGATGGTAGCTACAAAGTAATGCAATACAAATGGGGAAAAAAGAAATTGTATTGGAATGTATTGGAAAACGGGAACTGGAAGACTGGCACCAGCAGGAGAACCAGATAAAAATAGAAAGCATAAATATGGGAAAGAGTGATTACAGGGGAAAAAGCAACAGGTGAGTCTGATGAACCGTGGAGCAGCTGTGCAGGTACCATGACAACCGAGGAAACGCTGATGTTCTGAGAAAATGACACCAAGAGGAAGGCGTCATGAATTCTAGCAAAAGCCAACTAATAAGATACAGGCGCAACAGAGCAGGACGAGCTTTCTAAGTGTGATATGTGATTGAGAAATGCATGAGTCAACTTTGACACAACGCTTCACAGACAGAATAACGGCAAGTAATTTAATAATAATAGACACTACAGTCCTCTTTGAAACGCTGAATAATAAAAAAAAATATTTTGCATCACTTCACTTGTCCCAGGTGCACAGAAAGTTATTTCAGGCTTAATGGCCTAATTAATACTGATACGCCAATGAAGAATATCAAGTACTCCTGAAGAAAAAAAAGGTACCAAAGGTCATTTGGAGCAAAGCATCAGAATATTTGTGTTTCTTTCAATACAGTCAAAACAAAGTAGATCTGTAAAATGGGAAAACAACAAAAACAGTTTGCGCAGTCGGTGTATAACCTTTCGACAAAAATATGAGAGAAGAACACACAGGGTTCCACCTAGAGAAGCTTCATTGTTTTACAATTCACAAGGTGAAACGTAAGCAGAGAAACAACGCATAACACTGCAAGGCAACAGCAGGATTTTTGGGTCGTTCGACCAGCTCCATGGCTGCGTGGTGATGAATGCCAAAAGCAAGGACACAACATCTGTTCTGCATAAGACCTCAAACTGTGAAGTAGCTGTTACAGACAGGCATGTTCTAAGATTAAGAAATACCAGGATGTTGGTGTATTGATACACCAAGTCTATGCATTTAGGATACATATTTAAAAAGAAAAAAAACAAAAAAAACAGGCCATCTTTACTCTTTGTTATTGGGTGCTGAGCTGTTACGTAAAACGGCTTAGTCAACTGACACAAATTGTGGTAAGCTGAGCCGGAGCCACGCTGAAAACTGAGGAGACGTTCACAAGTGTGAAGGCGCTGGGCATGGTGCATCCTGTTGGAGATCGGAGATGTCAGGCTCTTACAACCAAACAATGTCATCCGCAGACAGGCGACCCTTCTGCTTTCTGACCAACTTAAACCTGATGGTGAAGATCTTAAAGTGAATACAGTGGCAGCAAAAAAAAAAAAAAAAATTTATTGATGAATCATAACTGGTTTCACATCAGGAGGGAGACTGATTATGTAAAACTCAGCCACAGAATATTTAGCAGAAAATGTATTAAAATAATTTTAAGATGATTAATTTGCTGCATAAAAAGAGAAGTTTCAGAAACAAAATTCCTTTCAGGACCCCGAAAAACTTTAAAAATGAATACTGCCCCAGCGTTTAGAATGAAAGTGAAAAGTTATGCATGAAACACTCCTGTACAGCACGGCCCTCTGCTGATATGACTTACAAAGAATGAAATGCAGGAATCTAAAGGAGACAATGACCTGGTCCCCAGCAGTCCTGTTTATGCAGTTGTGCTAAAATGAAAGCAGGTTTTAACTGCTACGTTACAGAAAACAATAAGCATTGTCTTCTGAAAAATACATTGATCTATACTGAGGCTTTAAGTGTTGAACAGATGGCAGAGAGCAGATTATTTATGGCTTGTTGCACATTTATCTCCTGCTGTTTGGTATCCTCACCTTGTGGAGGTCAGAGAGACACTTGTGACGAAGAAGAGCCTCTTTTACGGGGGACTGCTGGTGACACAGCAGGTGACACAAAAGCATCTTCTCCTGCTCCGGTGTTTCTCCCTCATCATCTGCTACTTTTTCCATGCTGCCCCCTTCTTAGTTTCTTTAAATCATCTAATGAGAAAAGTAAGAAAAAACATTATATTTTGAATATCTATCTATCTATCTATCTATCTATCTATCTATCTATCTATCTATCTATCTATCTATCTATCTATCTATCTATACAGATAGAGACATAGCATATCTTCTCTGAAAAGGAAATGCACTCTTCACAAAGAGCGGTTAGCTCCAAGCAAAATGATGCTTTAACCTGGTGTACCAGATGGTTTATTAGGAAAAAAAAACAAAAAAAACATCTGGGACATCTTTGAAAAAAATGTTCTGAAAAAGAAGAAGAGCTTTGAAATGAACCGATTTATGCACTGCTAAAGTATGAATGAGACTCACTTACGCCAAAGGTGAAGATTGTAGACCAGGGTGTGTGTGTGTGGGGGGGGGGGGATCTCAACTTCTACTGACTAAAATTGAAACTTGTCTTTTCCTAATTGAATGCAATCACTGAAGTCACACGTAGCTTCACAGATCTCCTTCATCACCGCCAGGTGGCGCTGCAGCGCCAGCGGGAGATTCTGTAAACGAAGAGCTGCAGAAGCAGAAATTTGCTCTCGTTCTTCTCCGCAGTCAGCAAAACGCAGTGTCCATAGCTGAGATGTAACGCAATTTTATAAAAAAAATATATATATATATATATATATCTAGCATATTTGATACCCTCACACAGCGGATGTGTTTTGTTTTTCGCCTCCCGGGAATAAAGCTCAAAGCGGGGGTCTCCTCTTCGGGAGGACTTGTTGGATCCCACCCTCCGTGACGGACATCAGGAAGAAGGTAGCCAGTTGGCTAGCGTTAGCACATTGTTAGCTTCTTTTTTTCTGTGGCTATTTTATAGTGATCTGAGAGACCTTCTGTCTAAGGGTTCATAGATACCTACAAGAAGTTAATATTATGCTATTTAACAAGTCATTTGAGGTGGAAATAAGGCGTTATTAACAGACAGTCCCTCCGGTTCTTTAATGAGGTTGAGTAATATCTGTCGCACCGTGACGTATAGCCTACCTGGCTCTGCTGTGTCTTCCTCCAGAGAGAATGGCCGAACCGGAGCTTCTGTTGGACTCCAACATCAGACTCTGGGTGGTTCTGCCCATCGTCTTCATCACCTTTCTTGTCGGCGTGATTCGCCATTATGTCTCAATTCTTCTGCAGAGTGACAAAAAGTTGACCTTAGAGCAGGTTTCAGACAGGTAAGCACACTGTACTTGTCCATACATGGAAATTACACAAGTTCAGCGAAAATGCAGTAATGTATGTTTGTGTGCTTTGTAAAAATTTCAGCCAGGTTCTTATTCGGAGCAGAATTCTCAGAGAAAATGGAAAATACATTCCGAAACAGGTAAGACATCAATCTTACCTAAGTGTTTAATATTCAAAACGCCATCAAAGCGAAATCATAAAAAATAGCAGTAACAGTCTTTCAATCGGCTCATATTATTAGAAAGTTCAACTGCCATACTTACATTTAATCAACTTTATCAGGTCATGTTTTTAAGTCAGAACTAGCTCTCACACATTTCACTTGGTAAAATGATGGTTAAATTAGTTGAATTTAGTTTAGGTTTTTGATTTGTTACAAACGTAAGAAGTTGTTCTCAGTTTATCTTATCTGCTTAAGTAATTTTGAAAAACATCTTTAGCGTCTTACTTAATGGGTGAGGTGTGGTTTTATTTCCGTTTGACCTCATAATTTTTTTTTTTTTACAACCTTGGAGTATAAATTATTTATAGGAAACTGTCTGCTGTAAGCAACAAGAGATTGATACAAAACTAATGTAATTGATGTAAGTAAAACTATTGGATGAGCTGACTTCTGATCTGGTCTCCTGTTCCTTACCATGCCTGTAGTTAACAACAGTATTACTGATTACCTCCCTGTGTTTTAGTCCTTTTTGATGAGAAAGTTCTACTTCAACAACCAAGAGGACGGCTTTTTTAAGAAGACGAAAAGGAAGGTCGTTCCACCGTCTCCCATGACAGGTACGCCCAGTGGATTACTGCGCCACTCATGGTGGTTGTCACTGGTTGCTGAGCTGTTAAAAAAATAAAATATATATGTGTGTGCGTGTGTGTAAACTGTAGTACACTCAGCAAATTGTTTTTTTCCCCCCCAACTTATTAAAAAACAATGGTGAAGATGCTAAAAAAATATATTTTGCACATCGAATTGGCGTAGAAAAATCAAGTCTCGTGTTTCCCAGATCCCAGCATGCTGACAGACATGATGAAGGGCAACGTCACCAACGTGCTTCCCATGATCCTCATCGGTGGCTGGATCAACTGGACCTTTTCTGGATTTGTAACAAGTAATATTAGTTCTTCTTAAAATGTAGCAGCTCCTGTTGCATAACGAGTTGCGCATCTAAACGTGATGTGCTCAGTTATGTGTTTTTTTTTTTTTTTTAGTGTAATAGATGTTTTGTCTTTGTGCTTGTGTTTCGACACAGCGAAGGTTCCCTTCCCTCTCACCCTGCGTTTTAAGCCTATGTTGCAGCAAGGAATAGAACTCCTCTCATTGGATGCTTCCTGGTAAAGAAATAAAGCTGGACTATCTGACCTTCACTGAAACATTCGTTTTGTGCTTATATCAAGCACGTGACCTTCTCGTGACTATCTATGTGCACTCTTTCTTTTTTTTTCTTTTAGGGTGAGCTCAGCTTCATGGTATTTCTTGAATGTCTTTGGACTGAGAAGCATGTACTCCCTCATATTAGGTCAAGATAATGGTAAGTGTAGTTAATGAAGAATCACTCCCATCTGCAGACAGTCAGGATTAACCATTCGCTCATGCTGATTGTAGCTCTGCCTCTGAATCCCTCCAGGTGCCGACCAGTCTAGGATCATGCAGGAACAGATGAGTGGTGCTGCCATGGCCATGCCTGCAGATACAAATAAAGCTTTCAAAGTATGTTTTATATGACCAATATAATGAGATCCTTTGGCAAGAAAGGACAGATTCTCATGTGATTTTTATTTTAATTTTTTTTTGCAGGCTGAGTGGGAGGCACTAGAACTAACAGACCACCAGTGGGCGCTAGAGAGTGTTGAGGACGAACTGATGAGCAGGGAGCTGGACTTTGATGGCATGTTTAACAAGGAGCTGCCAAGTGGGATCTTCTGATTGCCTGGTCTAAATTTAGTCATTGCAGGGAACCGTTTTTTTTTTTTTTTTTTTTTTTTTTGTGTTTTTTTTGTCTTTTCACAATGTGCGACGTTTACATGTTTATGGTCATTGTTCTTTCAAATATTCCTCTTCCAGTCCAGAAAATATCTTAACCTACTGAAACACTCTAGCTGTTTCATGTCGATCAAACACATTTTAGTTGCTATTTTATTTACAAGGACATATTTCTTATTAAAACTGCATTATCATTCTCTTGTAAGTGTATGCATTCATAATACTACTGGGTACAAATCCCTCCCCCCCCCATGAATAATTAGACTACTTCCATTTCCAATGCATCATGACTCAACAACAGGACAAAACAAATTGTACAGGTTAAACTATTTAATCTCTCCATGGTTTGATAGTAGAGCAGTTGTTCTGTGTCTACCTCTAAAGATTGGAAGCAGACCTAGGACCATCTGAGGTTCGCATGTTATAGAAATGTCTTCTGTTTTCTAGACAGTTAATTTTGTAAAGTTAAACATTACTTTGCATTTTTTACAGTCTAGAAATAGTTTTGATTAAAATTGGTTTTCTCCATTGCAGTGTACAGTTGCACATTTTTCTTTGAAAACAAGCAATTTGATAATTACAAGAATGATGACATGAGTGGCTTTTTTTCTGCATATTTCAACTTTTTTTTTTTTTGCTGGAACTTTCACTCTCTGCTGTGGAGTTTACAGAGAACGGTCTGAAGAAGAGACCATTCCAATTGAGCAGCAATGATTGGGCAAAATGTCTGGGTGTTTGAGGAGAATTGGCAGATTGGTTTGAAATGATAGGTCATCACAATCTCAAATAATCTCATCACACGGTATGCAGGATGCCATCTTTAAATCGAAAGGAAGAATGCAATCCTCGGCTCCTGCCTCGGATGTTGCCTGGACATTTACCATCTGCCTAATCTTTGAACTCATTCATTGAAACTGTATTTTCTGATCTATGTGGTCTTTTCCAGGTGAATCTATTCTGCCTTCAAGCAAATGTGTTTGATACGGTTCAGAAACTGAACCAGGGAAGTGTGGCAGAGGTTTTTGAGAGATCACATTTCTCATTTTCCTTGTAAAGGTTTATCTCGTTTCGCTAGAAAGGACGTGCTGATTCACGGTTGAACATCAGATCCAGGAAGAGGAGGCGAAATCTTCACCATTGTGGAGTAAATGAGCAGGTCATGAAGGTTTGTTTGGACCTGGACTATTGTGAGGATCTGAGAAAGGCTTCACTGCATATATCGAGATTTTATTGCTGCAGGATGTGGGATGTTTTTTTTAGGATGATCTGGTCCTGGTTTAACCAACGCTGAATCTGTCCACTTTTTTTTTTCTTCAAAATCAACTATCTTGATTTATGTATCATGTTATACATAGATCAGTTCCTCTGAAAAAACATACCTGGAATGTTGCTTTGACTCATTCATGAAAGTTTAATGTGTCCTTGAATCAGTCCCATTCAGGGACGCCTTAATCTGCTCCACAAATAAACTGCCTATTTCCACAAAGCTCCACCTTGGAGCTTCAGTTCCCAGTTGAGATAACAGAGCATCCCGCCCTTGTGCCATCCCCACACAGCTCCACCAAACTTCCAGCAGCAATTAGCATCTACTGAGCTCATCATACAAAGGGTAGTAAATGTTTTTAGCCAATCGGCAATAAAATTTAAGAACAAGGAAGAAAATTGGTTGTAAATGGCATCAATGGGCCACATGAAGAAGCATTGTTGAGTTTTGGAAAGGGTATTAGGTTCTTAAAGAGACAGAGGTCAATTTCAAGGAATCTGATGCAAATTTACCACAAGGTCCAATTTATTTTGAGTTGTTTTGAAACATACTGCATCTTTGTAACAACTGAAGGATAAAATAGTTACTTCATTGTAGTATAAAACGCCACTACATCCCCGGTAAATACTTATCTTCATCCCCCCTTTAAGTGAGCTTCCAATACTTTCTATCCACAATAGGAAAAGTGGGCTGTTTTGATCGTCACTGCGTCCACTTGCTCTTTTTAATTGGATTGTTTAACTGTTGCCTTTAGTTGCAAACAACCGGGAAATTTTAAGGACTTGTATTTTCACAAGCTTGGAGCATTTTTCTCACTCTAGTAGGTGTGACCCACAGAGCAGGAGGGACTCACCCAGAGCACCAAGAGGTCTCACTCAAATCCTTCAACTTGCCCATTTTTCCATGTTCAAATGTTGGGACAAAAATTTCTACTAACCAGTTAAATGATGAAGATATACTCTGTGGTACTGACTTAAGCTGTCATAGAGTCATAACTGTACTTTTCGCTTGTAATGATGGTTTATCCACATGTCGAGGTTGCTTGCGCTTCTTCTTGTTTGATGTTTTTTGGCGGTTGGCAAACAACAAAAATGGTGCATTACCGCCACCAAACGGTATGGAGTGTGGACCACAACGTCACTCAAGTATTAAATTCTGTTAAGTAACTGCGTTAATTTAAGATAATGAAATACTGATAAATTTTACTTTTCGAATTATTTCTAAATAAATCAACTGAATCTAGGTTGGTTGATCTTTTGGCACAGTTGCACTTTTATACCACTAGGGGCCCCGTTGCTCCTCCGTCTATGGATCGTAGAGGAAGAACGTTTAGCGAGACGCTCGCTCCTGTGCTTCAGTCCCTGCGCGTTCACGACACCGGTCCACTGGCTGCATGATGGCTGAGGGAGGCGGACCCGAGTCGGGTAGCGCGGCAGACTCTGACACAGAGCCGGTAGCCGCACAAATGCCTACCCCTTCAATAGAAAACCAAAAACAGAGTATTGGGTCACTTTTGAAAACAACTTTAAAAAAGGGCGACGAATGGTAAGGACCGACAACATCCAAACGTTGTTTGTCTTAGTCAGGGCTAGCTAGCATGAAACAGGAAGTGCTAGCATGCTAAAGCTAACAAGCAGCAATGAAAGCCTAAACTGAAAGCTGTTGCGCTAATGACAAACAGATTAGCATGCTAACTGCTAACCAGTCCGACCGTTCTGTTTTGAGACCTTTATGTGATGATCACAAACACTAATAATAACTTATAATAGATCAGATGTCCACTCAAACAACTTTATGTATTGAGATATTATCTTAACGTATATTTCATTATAAGTTGGAAGAAGCTAACTGTAGGGATAGCGAGCAGGCCCCGTATTTATCTGATAGGTTCTTCTTCCAGTCAAACCGGCTTTCTGACAAGACGAGACAGTTTTTATTCATATTTCTAGATCTGGCTGTTTCTCAGATCGAGTTCTTGAGAAACAGCCAGTGATTGCTAAAGCAGCTCAAGTCAAAAGCTGGTCAAACTACTTCATATAAATATTTCAATGGGAAATAGTCGGAGTAGCAGTTATTTACTTTGTCTTATATACTACAGCTAAGGAAACGTACGTTCTCATGAACCTTGTTACCTTCACAGCTACGGTGTTTGCACATTTATTTACATTTCCCTCTAAAACTATTTATTTTATGTGAATGTCTATCATAAGGCTCTCTATCCTTTTCAAAGTTTGTCAAAACCTAGTTTGTATTGGAGAGCATAGAACCATAGTTTTCTGTTAGAGAAGCTGCTACTGCTGAATGAACACTCAACGCTTTTCTGATTCAAGCCTGTTAACTAAAGGAGATGCTTTAGATGAGATTAAGGCGAAACTAGCCTGCCGTTACTATATATGCAAATGCCAAGGCAGTTTGCTGTTGCGTAATGTTCTGCAAAGGCATGAGGCTGTGTGGAACACGTCCTATTAACATCCACCTTGTCAGTTCTTCCCTTCTGTTTTAGTTTGGAAAAGAAAAACTGACTATTTTCTGACTGGTTGTGTGGTAACTTCTGACTTTTAACCAGTGTTGTCTCTCTTAGGTATCTTATAGACAGTCGATGGTTCAAACAGTGGAAAAAGTATGTGGGATTTGACAGCTGGGATATGTACAATGTTGGGGAACGTAGCCTCTATCCAGGACCAATCGACAACTCAGGGCTGTTCTCAGGTAAAACTCAAAAATAATTTTCTCTCAAAGCAAAGAACATGAAATAAAAGGTTCATTTGAAATAATACTTTTAATTCATGTTCTAAAGACCAGGAGACTCAGGCCCTGAAAGAGCACCTTATAGACGAGCTGGACTATGTTCTCGTACCCACTGAGGCGTGGAATAAGCTGGTCATCTGGTACAGCTGCCTTGAGGGCCAGAGACCCATTGTCAGAAAGGTGCTTTACTTTTTCCCTCCATGTCACGTTGATTTACGGCAAACCATTATCTGGGCTTTCTTATAATGTCTCATTTCTCTTCTAGGTGGTCGAACACGGCATGTTTGTGAAGCACTGTAAGGTGGAAGTTTATCTCCTTGAACTCAACCTATGCGAGAATGACAACATGGAAAATGTCGTCAAACGGCATTTCAGTAAAGCTGATACCATAGGTAAGAAGGACGTCAGGACTTCCAGGTGAACCGGGGGAAGTTTTCATTTCTGCATTACAGCATGTGATCCTTTTGTTCTCAGACACCATAGAGAAGGAGATGCGGACGTTGTTCAATATCCCTTCAGAGAAGGAGACTCGACTCTGGAACAAATACATGAGCAACACTTATGAGCAGCTGAACAAGCCAGACAGCACTGTACAGGATGCCGGTCTCTTCCAGGGACAGGTAGTTCACACTCTAGATCAGTGTTTCTCAACCCTGGTCCTCAGCGCCCCCCCCCCTGCTCTGCATGTTTTAGATGTGCCTCTATTCCAGAACAGCTGATTCAAATGATTGCATGACCATCAAGTACTGCAGAAGCCTGTTAATCACCCAGAGATACAATTCAGGTGTGTGGCTGAAGGGAAATACCTAAAACATGCAGGACAGGGGGGCGGTGAGGACCAGGGTTGAGAAACACTGCTCTAGATAGATTACTGAACATACTAACACACTGGAAGTATTTCCACTCCTTGTACTTGCATAATTCATTCAGAGGCGCTGCCTAAAAACAGGAACATCACATAGCCTCTAATGCAGAGCTGCCAGCTCTACAGGAAGATCCTTCTCATTTATTACACTAGGTAGTTCTTGTTCTTAACGATTACGGGTTGAATTGTGGTTTAAACTGCGTCATATGTTTACAGATTTATATGTGGCCTTGTGTCGTGATTGTTTTGTATAATGTTACAAATGTCGCTTCACTTTTATGAAGAATGGATACATGTTGAACTCGGTGGCGACTAGAGAAGTGTCTCAAAATGAAACGAAGCTAGTACACAGGGGCATCTCCACAAATTAGAAAAACTGTGAAAGTTCAGTTATTTCAGATATTCAAATCGACCTCATGCTTATTGGGAAATAATTACACACAGACTGAGTCAGGACATCTAGTGAACTGTCTGTTAATTTCAAATAATTTGGCGTACATCTAATGTGCTTCTGAAATCACTTTCTTTGGAAAAAATGAGTGTTGCATATAAAATTAAGTTTTGATAAACTGTACTCTTGTAATCTAAAGTAGGTTTTCCACGAATTCCAAAAATAATCCAAGTCTGTACCTTCGTTATACAGGGAAAACTGTTTTCAGGTGTGATGAACTCCTTAAATTCCCACAGGCCCCATTTTTTCATTTCATCAAGTTCCAAGGGGGGACAACATGGTTACTTTTCAAAATGCAAGTCAATAAAACTATTGAACGCCGCAAAAATAGTCTTCATGTGTTGGGAATGATATAAAGGAGTCGTGAGAATGTGTCTGCGAAAATAATGCACTTTAAATAATTCGATAACCACAACTACACTTAATAACGGCTTGGCAGCAGTTGACATATTTACTGAGTTCACCTTTAACCTGAGGTGTAACAGCCATAAATTAGAAATACGGAGCAGGCATGTTTTTATTCTGGTTGTTTTTTCCCACAGGTGCTTGTGATCGAACGCAAGAATGAGGACGGCACGTGGCCCAGACAAGCTTCGCATCCCAAGTAAGCAAACCTCTTATTTAAAATTGTGAAGAAATGTTTTTGTCTCCCTGGTGTTTATCATTTTTCTTGTGCATCAAGACTAATGGTTATAATTTACTTTCTGAAACGCACTTCTGCTCTCTCTCCAGGTCCAGTGCAACCCCATCTAGGAATTTTACTACCTCCCCTAAGCTTTCTTCAAATTCATCAGCTAGCATATCCCCAACAGTAACCAATGGTGACAGTAGCGGTAGCCCCGGATACGCTCTGAATAACAGCACGTCCTCTAACAACAGGTAAGGCGAAAAATTCTCATATATTCCTCTACTACTTTCTACTTTTACATGTATTTATCTGCTTCAGATACGCAAGGTGTTGGCCAAAACTGTCCATATCTATACATGGAGCTTATAATGCATTTTAGTAGAGCCAAAAGCACTACCATTAAACTTAATTTAATTAAATAGAACACCAGAAACAACACACAGTTAAGTCAGGAAACATCTGTGCATTTTTAACACACTAAGGCAAAGACTTTTTTTTTTCTTCTCACAAAAGTGTTTATTCTTGTTTCCTCAAGTGGTGACTTGACTCTTAAAGTAGCCGTATTATTTATAATCTACTTAGCTGCTTTCCGAGGGGAATGCTTTAGTGCTTTCCTGCAGAGCATCTTTTAAACACACATTTTTAAACATAAAACTTTGTGGACATCTGGAGAAATTTGGCTTGAAATGCAAATGTCCTACAGACATAATTAAATTAGAAAAACAAACCTGTTAGTTTGATTGTCTGACTGTTTCAATGCACTAATGAAGAACATGAACGTGATCTTCATCTGTTAGATGTGGGCACTAAAAACATATAAATGACACGTTCTGTTGTTAATAGGATTTTTACCTTACATGATGTTTGTATGTGTTTATGTTAATATAACTACAATTTTTCTTAACACTGGATCTCCTTTCATGCACATTATGTCAAATATGGTGTTTTAAAGTAATTCTGGTGGAGCTGGTGCTGTTCCCAATTCATACTACATTATTTTTATTTAAATAACATTTTATATCGCCTATAGTTATACTTGTATTTACTAATATTTGACACTTTGGATGGAGTAGCTTGTCAACAAATAAGCAATTTCCCCTTTGGGATCAATAAAATATATTCTGTTCTATTCTAGCCTCGCAAGCATCACTCAGCTTTGCATGGTTAAAAGGTTTAGATTGAACATGGTTTCCAACAATTAGTTCACTGACTGTAGCTCTATTGGCTAGAATAAATATTGATGTCTGTAAATTAGAATATTTTTGAAACATTGAATCTCTTCCATACATGACACCAACGTGCTATAGCTTGTTAGGCCGGGCTTCGAGAAGTGATCTGAGAATTGCGTGTATGTTTAATTCCACCAGCAGTAACAAATCCCTGCTCTCCACAGATTTGGGGGATATAATTCATATAGCTCCTCCTATAACTACAGAGAATCACAGTCGCAGCCTGGCCTGTGCGGCCTCAGTAATCTGGGCAATACATGCTTCATGAACTCTGCTCTCCAGGTAAAAGAACTCAAAATATTCTTTATAGATGTACAGCTCACCAAATAAGAATGTGATTTTCTTTTTTTAGCATTTCTGTTTTCATAATCTCCCTTCTTGTTCCTCTTCCTCCAGTGCCTGAGCAATGTGTCTCCACTCACAGAGTACTTCCTCACAGACCAGTACGAAGCGGAGATTAACCGAGAGAATCCCCTGGGGATGAGGGGGGAGATCGCCGAGGCCTACGCAGACCTGGTGAAGCAGATGTGGATGAGCCGCAGCAGTTACGTGGCCCCGCGTACCTTCAAAGTGAGCGACTTCAGACAAATCTCAGACAGGTTACCTTTCACCAAAAGGAAGCCAGACGGAAGCAGTCACGTGTGCGTCTCGTTTTCCAGACCCAGGTGGGCCGCTTCGCTCCACAGTTTTCCGGCTACCAGCAGCAGGACTCTCAGGAGTTGTTGGCCTTCCTGCTGGACGGACTCCACGAAGATCTGAACCGTGTCAAGAAGAAGCCTTACCTGGCCCTGAGAGACGCAGAGGGTCGTCCAGATGACGTACGCAGCATCGAAGCAGTGTTTAGCACTGCAAACTAAAATGTGTCTGTTTGTGGTAGAGCAACTGCAAAACTTCATGAGCATTTACAAAAAAAAAAAAAGTTGACTTTCTTTTAGATTATTGTATTTTTTATTAATTTTTTTGCTGTTACTATGTTGAGTTGCAGTTAATTGTCACACAGTAAAAGCTTTCATTATTGTTTGACTACAGATTGTTGCCAGGGAAGCCTGGACAAACCACCGCTTGCGCAACGACTCCGTCATCGTCGACATTTTCCACGGCCTCTTTAAGTCTACATTAGTGTGTCCAGAGTGCTCCAAAGTGTCTGTGACCTTCGACCCTTTCTGCTACCTCACGCTGCCTCTCCCTATGAAAAAGGACCGGACCATGGAGGTGTTTCTAGTTCAGTCGGACCCCCAGTCCAAACCCACTCAGGTATGGGAAAAGTCGGGCTTCGGTCTGAACTGTTCAGCACCTTTTGATCCGTTCGTTGCGTCTCGTCTTTTAACACCTGTTTTTGTGGTCAGGGCTCATGTATAAAAGTATTCACTCCTCGTTTAACGTTTTCAAATTTGCTCGTCTTGCACCTTTAAACTTCAGGCTACGCAGGCTGAATGTGATAGACCAATAATACGTAGACCTGCATTTTTACTGTAATCAGTGGCATTCACTGTAACAAAGGGTTACAAAAAATTTTCACAAGTCTTTAAAAATTCAGTACAGTCTTTTATTAATTGTGCAGTGAAGTTGTATGGAATAATGACATTAAATCATATTTTAATGGCAGGACAGTTAAGATTTCGTAGTTTGCAGTCTTGGAGATCAGAGTTTATCATCGTCATGCTAAATCAGAATTATTGTTAGAACTTTTTTCCTTTTAATCCTAATAAAGAATACAATAATTCCCCATCCTTTAGCCAACCCCTTTTATTTTAACGACCTTGAGTAAAATCTGATGCAAACAACTGCCTTCAGAAATGTCCTAATCAGTAAATGGAGTCCACCTGTGTCCAATTTAATCTCAGTATCCATCCATCCATCCATCCATCCATCCATTCATTCATTCATTCATTTTCTTCCCCTTATCCGGGGTCGGGTCGCGGGGGCAGCAGCTTAAGAAGAGAGGCCCAGACTGCCCTCCCCCCCAGCCACTTCTTCTAGCTCCTCCAGGAGCTGGAAATTATCCGTTGAGGCTTCTGAAGGTTTTTTTTATTTTATACGTCTCCAACAGATTTGGACAAAATGATGTTTTCTTGCATTCTCCTCAGTCATGGAACAATTTACTGACAGTTCCTAAAGTAAAAACACTCGCATCCAATACCAATTATAAGGGCTGAAGAAAAAAAAAAAAAGCTGTGTAAGAGGAATATTTTTGATTTGTGTGTCTGTTATCTTGACTTGTTCTGCTTTGTAAATGTCATTTTGACCTCACTTTGATTAAATGAGGGTAGAAAAATGCAGGGCAGTCATGGAAGAAAAGCTGCAAAAGACTTGAGGCTAGAGTGGAGGTTTAGCTTCCAGCAGAACAGCAACTCCAATCATAAAGTCAAGAGCTCCAGAGGAATGATTAAACTCAAAGGAGGTTTGATTTGATCAGACCTCCAGTGCAGAATCTGTGGAAAGGCATATGGAGGTCAATGTTCGGTTCCTCCACATTCAGCCTGGCTTAGCCTGAGGTAGAAAACGATATATTCCAGAAGACAAATTCTTTTTAATAAATACTAGTTTGGAACCCATGTATCCATCACCTCACATCCCAACCGCATAATCCACCCCAATATAATACAGTGAAGTTTGTGGTTGTAATTTAGCAAAATGCTACAGGTGTTTGGACACTTTTACAAGGTGCTATAGTCATGTTAATATGTTTATAGAAATATTTCACTCTGCTCTGTTTTCCTCGTTCTGCAGTTCAGAGTGGTGGTCCCCAAACTGGGAGCAGTGACGGACCTTTGCAGCGCCTTGTCCAGGCTCTGCGGGATTCCTCCTGAAAAGGTCAGATTTCCCACCATCTTTATTTCCTCGGATGTTTTTTGTTTTTGTTTTTTTGGTTGCTACTTTCAACCCGCAACCCTCCTTGTCCTCATAGATGGTGGTAGCCGACGTTTACAATCACAGATTTCATAAAATTTACAGACGAGATGATGCCCTCAACCAAATCATGGAAAAAGATGACATTTTTGTGTAAGTCTTGATTATTGAAAGGTGACCCCCAGAGATTTTTAGATTCTTACATTCGATCCGTGATCCAATGTGTCTCGTCTTTGCAGATATGAGGTCCAGGAGGAGGACAGTGAAAGGATGAACCTGCCTGTGTATTTCAGGGAGCGCCACTCCAAACACGTGGGCAGCTCCTCTAGCACCTTGTTGTTCGGCCAGCCTTTACTCATCTCCGTGCCCAGACACAACCTGTTGGCTGACGTTCTTTACGACAAGATCCTGGAAAGGATCAGGTAGGAAATGTGTNGGAGGCTCCTTTATTTACCATCCGTATCCCCGGTAGTTTTAGGCTGATCCGGAGTGAAGTGAAGGCTGCAAACTTTGCTGTGCGGCGTTAGCTGGTAGCGACAGATATTTACAAGCCAGGATCGCTTGGAAATTAACGAAAACTTAAAAGCCCATTATATTAGGAAGACAACAATGTTAATAGTATTGTTTTTTTGCATCTGAAATACGACTTGGTCTTTTCTACCAGTCAAAGCGGAAAAAAGTGAGCCGCATTAGCTCCTGGAGATGTGACGTCAACGCCTTAGGTGCAAAGAGCCCATTGCGCCCTCTAGTGCGCATGCGGGACACTTGTTTGCCCGTTCACACTGCAGAACGCATACAGGTCGCATTTACTGGCAGTGTGAACGCCCCCGCAAAAAAATCGGAATTGCCAAATAATCGGAATTAGGTCACTTCAGGCTGCAGTGTGAACACACCCATTGATACCATTGGGACTGAACATTCTATCTACCTCACAGATGTCAAACTCCAGTCCTCAAGGGCCGGTCTCCTGCAGTTTTTAGATGTGCCACAGGTATAAAACACTGGAATGCAATGGCTTAATTATCTCCTCCTTGTGTAGATAAGTTCTCCAGAGCCTCGCTAATGACCTAATTATTCTATTCAGGTGTGGTGCAACAGAGGCTCATCTAAAAGTTGCAGGACACAGGCCCTTGAGGACTGGAGTTGGTGCCCCTGATCTACCTTATTCCTTAAAGGCTTACTGGGGAAACGATTACGGGTCTTACTTCCGGCGCCCACCGGAAGTAGCAGTATTTCATTGTAATTTGAAATACTGCTAATCTGTATTCATGATAGAAGTTACATCTCTCTTTTCGGTTATTGTACAATATTTAATAAAAGCCTTCATATTTTTTCACAACAGGTAATTGCTGTTTTGGGCATTATATGACTGGTTTAACCCAACCACTATTACACATGGGATTATTGTGCCCCTTTAAAATGAAGTTTACTGAAAATTTCAAAATAAAAGCCTCAATATTCCTCTCAAGTTAATGCACTGTCTTAGGCAGTGCACTAATATTAGTCTTTTCCATAAAATAAAAATCTCCCAGGTTAGTGCACTGCCTTGCGCAATATTCCTCCACTAGAGTGAGACTCCAAACAGTTTTTAACTTGCCGTCATGCCCACAAATAAGGCTCTATTCAATAGAGCCATAGAGCCAATAGAGTCTATTAGTATGAAAGTCGGTCATGATGACACCATCTCTCTCTCTCATTGCTGCTTTTACTGTGAATGAGGTACAGATATGAATTGCGGTACTATCAAAGATGAGAAATAGCCCTCTCGCACCCTTCAAACAGTTTTCGAATACGTCTCACGGTTCCTGAATGGGAAGGAGTTGTTCGGACTGCTTTTTTCAGAGAAACTGACTGGGTGTCTCACAAAGATAGAATTCTTTCTCCACCTTTCTGTCTCACACACATGACAGTTGACTGAGGGCAGAGCTGCGCTTTAGAACTACAAAGATGGCTGAAGGTTAGAACTACATTAATGGCAGAACAATCAGTTACTAGAGAGGAGGGCTGGCAGTTTAGAACTACAATGATGGTGGAACTCTGAGTTACTACAGAAGGAGGCTGAGCAGAATGTTAGAACTGCAGACACGGCAGAATGTTTTGGGCATTATTTATAACTGATTTAACCCAACCACTGTTAGTGAGAGGATTAGTGTAGCCATTTAAAAATAAAGTTTACTGGAAATTTCAAAATAAAAGCCTAAATATTCCCCTCAGGGTCGTGCGCATGGAAGTGAATTAACATTAGCACAAACATTAGCATTTCACTGCCCCCCCATTAGCATTAGCCTTTTCCCTAAAAAAAAGCTTTTAGCTATTTTTCTTATTTATTAGCCATGCTTAGTATACTGATGGAGTAAGTCAATGTAAGACAACATGCTAGTGATGCCCCACATGCTAATGATAGCATTTAGGCTAATGTTAGCAATTTGGCTCATTTTAACTTGTACACTAATTTCAACATACTGAATGGCATAAGCCCATGTTACTCAACATGCTTGTGACTGCTATTGAGTACATTGCAACTTACTTTAGCATTGATGCTAATTTGTAACATCAGAATGCTGGGTTTCAACCGACGGGCACACTTTGGCAGGCCCCGTTTAAATTTCTTCAGAAATGTTCTAGTTTATCACTTATTATTAATAAATGTTCAACAATAATTCTATGCCCTCTCTATTATCTGATCATTTTGATGCCTCATAGGGCTCTTCACTGTACACTTGCTGTGATACAGGTACCTGCTCTTTCTTTTTTGATAAATGGATAAAAAAATATTGATCCTGCAGGAAAACAGCAGCATAGATGAAAGTTACAGAGCAAATATTTAAGTTAAAGTGACAGTTCTAAAAATACTGCGTTCAGAATTTGGATTAAATGTATAGCATCAATAATATTAAAAAAGCAAAATTAGGGGAGTTGCATAACTCCCTCAATTACGTAACGAGGTCTGTAACCTAGAGCGGGAGCCCATAGGTTACAGACTTTGACTCAGCTGTTTTGAATTCAACTGTCATCCTCGGTTCCTTTGCTGCATGTTGAATGGAAAATTCCTCTGTTACAGTATTGATAATAATTGAGCTAAAATGAGGAGAACAGTATGGCTATGCAGAAAGAAAAGAAACATAACATGTCTGCTATAATGAACAGTGATTTTATCTGAACCCTATATGAAACCATAACACCTATCCATAGGTGAGTTCTTCTCTGCTGACAGATTAAACCAACCCTACAGTCCAGGTTTCTCCTATAGCTCCCTCTTCTTCTTAACCTCCTAGCTAGTCTCTAGCTAAGAATTTGACAAGGCTGCCTGCATGGTTCAACAAAGTTTCTGTTGAGATATAATATAGTTTCCTAAGTATGATGTGGCAGAGGACACAAGTGGAACTGCTCTAATACAGAGTCACCTGGCTGTGGGTAGATCTCTGATGCTTTGTGTCTTTGAACCCTGCTAATGAATATCTGAGCCCTGCTGAGACTCATTGTAATCCCCCTTAATTTTTTATTCATATGCTGTTTTCCTAGCCTATATGAGTGAATATATATGTGTAAAAAAAAAAAAAAACAGAGAGCATGTGAGAAGGAAAACATGTTTGTTCTTGTGAAAGTATTGGAATGTGGCTTGTCTGGGTGTTCGTGAATAACTCATTGAGGAATGTTTGTGTTGTTGACTCACTCAGTCTGAATTGAGGGCGTTCTTACCGCCCTGAATAGACAGGCTGATTCTCTTAAAAACTCTGTGGATCCCCATCCAACCTGACTCACTGCATTCAAGAACCACCAGACTTTTAAATGTCCTTTACATTTTGGGCAGTTTATAACTGAACTGGACAACAATTTTGTCTGTTTGATGCAGCTTACTGGCAAAATAATGTATTCAGTTCTAGTTGCTACCTAAATAAATCACCAGCTATATCTCAGCTAGAGAGGAAATCTGTGGGTGAGATGGTTTCAGAGTATATATTTAAGTTGCATCATGACAAACAGAATATTCTAATAATTTGGACTCAGGATTTCATGGACTGGTTCTGGCTCAACATGGGGGATACCAAGGAGCTGGTGGTGGATTTCTGGAGGTGCAGACTCACCTCACTGACTCTGCTGAACATCCAGGGAACTGACATTGAAATAGAAGATTCTTAAAAGTACCTGCATGTTCACCTAGATTGGAGTCATTACAATGAAAAGGTCAGGTTAGGGTCTACCTGAAGAGAACCTTGAGGTTTTTTGGAGTACTGAAACCTTTTTTGACTCATCTGTATGTTGGAGCAGACGCATCTGCATCTAAGAGGAAGCAATTATAAGCTCATCAGAAAGGCCAGCCCTGTCCTAGGATGCTCCCTCAACCCATTGTGGGTCCTAACAAACTTAAGAAGTTTTCCTTTTCTTGTAAATAAGTCTACTCTTGTTTTTTAAATACAGAAATATACATTTTGCACATTTTCTTTTCTACTGTGTTGCACATTTCTTTGAATATGAGTATGCCATTTTAATACTGGAACTAGGGCTGTAGTGATACAGTAATCTTACGATACGATACATGATATTCTGTCCACGATACGATATATATTGCGATATTCATCAAACGATACAATTCAATACACTTTTGCGATTTTCTGAAAGATTTTAGAGGGACAGTGATTTTGGTGACATTTTGTGACTGTTATAGAGTTGGATTGAATTAATTTAACTGAAAACTGTTTAAAAGCACCAACTACACTATACCTGGCTCTGGTTGGACATGGACACAGACTTAAAGTCGACAGCTGGACAAAAAGAATCAAAGTGGAGAGAAAACATGTTTCTTTTAATTGAAACAGTACAAACTAGCTTACATGGATTTATAAAGTAAATAAAGTGCACCAAGCACCCTGCTCTGAATAGTTTGATACCTTTTTAACCTTGACACTTAACATCTGAAGGAATCACTCTAAGCCTGCTGACCTAATCACTCTCTTGGCGAAGCAAGCAGTGAGTGAGCAAGATGACAGTTGGATGTTGCAATACTTGCGGATGAATATCGATTTTTTTTCTAGGAAAGAAAATATCGATATATATCGCGATATCGATATTATCCTACAGCCCTAATGTTGATAGAGAGGAAACATGACACTTTAAAGACAAATTACCAGAGCTATGATC